TGAAATATTTCTGAAGTGATCTTTGGTAAAGCTGAAGTGTTGAGTTCAGACCAGGAATGTATGTGTGGTGGCTGGCCAGGCTGGAGCAGCCCTGCAGCATGGTGGGCCCAGCCAAGCAGTCCTCCCACCCCACCTCATTGTAGAGGGGGCCACGCTGGCCCAGCTGGGTCCTCCATGCCACGCCACAGGTGGGGGGCTGCTACAGCCTGGCCAGGACCCTCACCCACAGCATCCCGGTTAATAGGTTAAACTTAACCAGTAAAATGGGATTTTACATCTCTAGCCCAGGGATAGTTCCATTATAAAAGTTTTATTAAGACTGCAGCTTTAACATCATTCTACCTTTGTGCCAGCAGTTATAAGAATCTGAAAACAAAGGAGCACACTTTGTGGGGATTGTATCTTGGAACTCCTCTGACCAAAGGACTACAAATTTACAAAACTTTCCAAAGGGCCAGCTATTCAAAGCACTGTGCACTTAGGACAAAAATGAAACTCACTCCTTGGGTGATGATCAGGTTCAACAATGGTATGTTGCAGTGATCTGCCCAGTCGCTAATGTCAAGCATGACCCTATACACTCTTTGCTTGCAATACAGAACCAATCATGTCGCACATGCCCAAGTCACATTCACTCTGATGTGGCACTACAGTTTCAGAAGCTTATAGAACCAGAGAGAACCCCTAGTAATTTTAAACAGGATTTTCCCAGTGTGTCAGGATATGTCTACACAGCAACATTATTTTGAAATAATGTTGAAATACTGTCAAGCTGGAGGACTTCTCCAACTCCTGTAACCTTCATTTCACGAGGAATAAAGGAAGTTGAAGGAAGAGTGCTCTATTTCAAAATAAGCTATGCAATTGACATAGCTCAATTTGTGTAGCTTATTTTGAGTTAAGCCCTGCTGTGTAGACATATCCTCAGTGAGTGCCAAACAAAAGCCAAGATCAAACCCATTTTGATTATCACTTTTTAAAGGTGATAGTAGTACTAGTGCAACAGTGAGAGCCATAGGTGCATGCAAAAACGTTGCAAGAATGGGAAAGTTTACTGACAGGACTTTTAATTCTAAATTCTCATAAGAACACTGTCCCTAAATTTGCACCATTAGCATTACTACAAGCCATGAGAATCCACATAAGTTGGCTTGTGAATTTTAAAGCATATTGAGAAGACAATCTGGATCTTAAATAAAATAAAATAAAAGAGCTCATCTCAGTTTCATGAGACAGTAAGAGTTGTCCCTATTGGATCCTCTGATGCACTGTCAATTTCTACACACCCTCTTCTCTCTAGTCTCATGAAGACCAATCAGCAAATAGAGCAGGAAGAGGAATGAGTCTTCAAACAAGGACACCCTTTGTTTTTTTCCACCACTTGTGTTGCTGGCTGGGTGACAGCAGTGATCACATGCAGCTGGAACTGCTGCATCCATCGTAAGGGAGATTTTGCTTCCTGGCTGAACAGAAGGCCACCCTGAAGGTTGAGAGCCATCAGACTAGATGACTGCAGCTATTTCTTAAATTCAGCCCAATCTCAAGTGTTGCAAATTTTTGCAACTTTTATGGCAAATCTTCCAAGATTTGGTATTTTTCTTAAATCCCCAGCTCCTAGTGTCCATGAATACGTGATGGAAGAATATGGGCGAGATCTGCATAAATATTCATAAAATTAAATGAGGACTCCTGTAGCACCTTAAAGACAAATTGTATGTCCAATTACATTTGTTAATCTTTAAAATGCCACAGGACTCCTTGTTTTAGCAAAAACAGACTAACATGGCTACCACTCTAACACATAAAATTAGACTGGAAATCCATCAACTACAGAAAGTACTCTCCGGTCATCTGAAGAAGTGGGCTGTGTCCACAAAAGCTCATGATACCATCTAAATGTTTTGTTAGTCTTTAAAGTGCTACCAGACTTCTTCTTGTTTTTTAAGTTTATCCTGTACAAACTAACTCAGCTACCCCTCTGAAGCTCACAAAATTAATGTACATCTCTATTTGATTACTATCATGTTGTCTGCAACAGGGCTGCAAAGAGTTAACTCAGTCTTAATGGCCTGTAGATATATAAGCGCTTTCTTTAGTTGACAGCATAGGATCTGTTGGTTCATTTGTCCAACACCTCGAAGGTTAGGACATAGCCTTCAGGCATAACACCTTAAACAGAGAATTTAGATAAATGTTACAGAAACAGCCAAAAAAGATCTGCAGAAAAGCAGATGGAACCCAGGTTCCCAGAAGTGGAAGAGTGCATGCGATAAGCTGGGAAACTACCACCCCCCCCCCAAACTTAAAGCATGCTTTGTTATTTTAACCTTTGACACCAATTTCAATGTTCCAATAGATAAAGAATATTAGGTTTTCAAGAAACTATTTGGTGTCACTGGATTCTCCTACTAATAGCAACTCTCTAAAAAAATCACTGACAAGAACCAAATATAGTTAGGCCTGCTTACATGCTGAATATATTTTAAATAATTGGATAGCTCATCTTCAACATGTTCAACCACATGCTAGAAATCTTTTCCACGTTGATTGTTTTTCTTAAGGCAAGTCCACTTCAGCCCTGTAAGGCTGTTTACTTGTCCCCAATTAAGCTCTCCCTCCACATATGTCTATTAATCATCTCTTCAGGTGTGTTTGTGCACAATGGCTGATGTCCTGTCCTCTGGAATTAGGTCTACCAATGTTCTTTTCACAGTTCCTCATCACACACTGCTTCCTGTTCTGCCTCTCCATTGTTTAAGTCAGGCTATGTAACTTGGAAGTCTCCTCTGATGCCTCATTATTCTGATGTCAAGAATTTTATTGAATCCCTTAAACAGAGTAACTGCATTTTGCAGTATGATCCCCTTACAACTAGCAAAACAAACAAACAAACAAAAACACACCACTATATTTGAACTTGTCATTTTCCTCTTTTGGCACAAAGTTTATTTTGTATAGCCACACAACAGCCCACTGATTAGCAAGAACTCTGATCGGTCTTCAGCTCTCCGTTTAATTCTGTTGTGTTTTAAAGATAGAATTCCAAGTGTGAACAAGAAGCCTATTTCTGGACACCAATACATCAACCCCGTTTATTTCAGGCTAGAGTCTTTTTGTATATGCTCTTATATACTGCTTTACCTTTGATCTTATTTTTTCATTTTTTTAACTTTATCCTGTAGCCTCAATTTGTTTAAGAAAGATGGAGGAACTTCCATATTTTCTTCCGACGTGCTTAAACCAAAATTACACCTTCAAAACCTATCACATGATTGTCATAGCTGACCTCTGAACAAATAAGAAGCAGCATCTGAATGTCTATAATATTTACATGATTTGAATTAAATCCAAGTTCTAAATTAATGGAGCACAGCTTTGTCCTTGATTCTAGTCTAAACATCAAAATTTGCCACTTTAAATAAAATGTATATAATTTCTATTTTACTTCAATAAATGAAAACTAGTCACAGTTCAGTGTAGATGTACCTTGCCAGTGTTTTCGGATTTCTTAACCACATTTGGACTAGTGCAAAAAAAGAGGCTTATTAAAAAGCAAATGTTACTGACATTATAAAAGTTATATCCCCCCTAACTAATATAAAATCTTTCCACCAAGTAGAGTTCATTCTGTTTTACCAGGAGGTTCATGCTACCCATGCCTCCCTCCAATAATATAGGACAGACTTAAGGAAAAAGTACCAACTCAATGGATGCACATGCATACATATGCAGAGCAATGAATACACCATGTATATTAGAGAACTAGAGAGGATTACAGTTTTCACATCAAAAAATGGCAAATCTCTTTCTGAAGAGGTGTCAAACTGTTTTTTATACTTTAATGCAGGCATGTCCAAAGTCCGGCCCGCGGGCCAATTGCGGCCCGTGTTCCGGTTTAATATGGCCCCCCAGGTAATTTGGCAATATCTATCTTTTATGGCCCCCAACGAATCCATATGTATTGAGATGAATACATTGTAAAATCTCAGTTAATGTCAGTTGGTCTAAATCAGTTATAAATATATTTGGACACAACATGTATACTTGGTGTTATGTTCCTGTTCATATTTTTTGAACTTAAAAGTTGACAGACAACCTTTATTACCAATAATATGTAATGTACTTTACAATGTTCCTGACATATATTTCAGCTTCCTGGATTTTTTTTTCATCTGGCCTTCAGATATGAAAGGCAGAGTGATTTAACACCTGTTTAGATTTGTCATCCATGTGACGAAATGAAAAGTATGCCGTTTGCAATAAACTTTGCATAAAATAGTTAATTTGCATTTAATTTTAATGGTTCAAAGAATGTCAGGCAAAATGGTCGGCCCTCACGCATATTCACTTCATCAAATCTGGCCCTCTTTGAAAAAAGTTTGGACACCCCTGGTATATAGCATTCCTTTGTATCAGGGAAGATCTAGAATTCAGAATGACCTTAGAAAAATCAATTAGCTGAATGTGATGAGATAAAGAATTCTCACTTTCCTCTGTTTATAGCATGTTCCTCCTCTAGATAGTCTTGAATGGAAAAACAATGTGGAACAACTTGGTATTCACATGTTCTTAGAGCTTTACAAAAATCTTCAGCATTATTCAGCAAGTTAATTATATTATAGGTTACAAAGACAAGGAAAATATTTGTTGTATACATCATAGATAGTTACAGTCTCACTCTTTCTTCGTGCTGCATATAGCAAAAATAAAGATTTATCACAGATGATAAAGTACAATATTTGTATAGAAGCAACAGAATCAGATAAGAATTGATCTGTTGTGTAAACAACTACTTAACTCAAAATTAGGGTTGAGGTTTCAATTATCATTTAAGAGTACCACTGGACAGAGATGGTAGGCTAGTTTCAAGTCTAAACAACAACATAACTGAAAAGATGGCAGCAAAAGAGAAGAGGGGAAAGCAAACACGCCACCCAAAAAAGAAAGTTTTATCTTCAGCCAAGATTATCAGGAAGCAGAATTCTCCAACTGCCACATACCTTAGATGCTTGGGGTGTTGATATCACATGAACAGTGCTGGGTTTGACTCCATTAGCCTTTGGTCTCTTGTAAAGAGCAAACCTGCTTTTCCTACGTCCTCTGTCTCCATTAGGGAGGGAACCATTGTACCTAAAACAAACAAGAAGATATGTTTATTCCAGACTCTCTGTCATGAAGAAGGGAAGAGAAGCAGAGTTGTAAATGAAGCTATCAGATCATGTGCCATAAAGATTACAAAGGAGGAGGCAGCACACCCTGGAGAGCAAGAAAGTTTACTTACTAGCTCAATAAGTACAGCTTTCATGTTCTGATTTAAGAAACTGTTCAAACACTTCAGAACTTAACATTTTCATTTAACAGATTCTGTTACATCCTAAGAAAGCCTGAGAGTTGAATGCAGCAACTTTGAGAAGGCTAGTTTTACAAGCTATGGAAACATTTTTGCACCTCTATATTGGAAACACTAGTCTGGCCTTATGACTGTACCCATATTTCTGTACTTTGAGTGCAATTCTAACTTTTCTACACATTGTAAAGTATTAAAAGTTTTAGAAATTTGTTTTTCCTCTTCTCCAAAAATCACTCAGGGAAGGGAAAAAGGTTTTCAGAAGTTCTTAAGTCCTTACAGGTACATCCTATTGAAAGGATAGAATTTAGGTTCCTAAATCACATAGGAACTTCTTAAAACCCAAAGATCTAATGAGGTTTGATTTCTTTTGGAAATTTAAAAATCTCACATGCTCTTCAGTGAAATGAAACCCTTAAACAAAGTCATTAATGAGGCTTCCTTAGGAATATGGTATGTATTGATATTCCCTAAATCCTTCCTCTCTCTCCAAAGAGACCAGTCCCAAAATACTTGTTACTCAGAGGAAGGTTATCCAACCTCAGTGAGAATATAGCATCCTCCAAGGAACAGATTCTTAGGAGTGCACAAGCCTTGAGATTCCTAACCTTCCCACATCTTTTGGTGAGGAATATTCTTATTGCAACCCTTGTGCACAGTGCAATGTATTTGTGAGCTCCCTGATCAGAATAGGATCAGCTTTATATATGTCCCCTAGCTTTCTCCTTAATGCAATTAACAGAGATGCCTTTCCATAAATCAGTTCCTGTCTATCCTGTGCATTAACTGATAAAGGGGGCCTGTAGAAAAATACAGTAAGATCACACAATTATGTGTCATAATACATATGTACAAGGTAGCCAAATGAAAGACTGCATTGGCAAACTTAATTCCTAACCTGAGTGCTTACTTCTGCAGTCTGAATAGTCCTTTCACATTTATTTAGATTCATAAGAGGTCATCTACACAAGACAATAATACTTGTGAAAAAATAGGTAGGTCTTAGCTTGCCTCCAGACAACACTCTATTCAAGCTTTCAAACAGAAAATAGCTATATTTGTAGATGTAACAATTCCTTAAGAGATCACACAAAGAATAATTAGCTTCATTTTATGTTCTCTTGCATTTTTAATTAAAGTTTTACTATGTAAACAACTGAATATTTAATTCCAGATCCTACTAGGGCTACTTGATAACTGAGAAAGCTATGGAACACTGCAGTTTCCATGTAAAAACTGTCTCAGTATTTTAAGTATACTAAAGGGTTATGCTGGAAAAGACTGTTTTGTCTGAGCTTCCTATTTTGCCTGATTTTTCTGCATTAGTTAAATAACTTCTACCTCTGAATGATTGAGAGGTTTTAATAGATATTTTTAGCTAGCATTTTCCATTCATGAAGCTGCAGGGACTTCTTCTGGTCTCTCTCATTTGGATTCTCCCAGGTATAGCTAGCATGCTCTTATGAATATCCAAATCATGTCTTCTTTTTTAATATACAAAAATTAAATTAGTGGCAAGATATAGAGATGTAAGGAAAGCAAATTCACGGTCATAAGACAACACTTTATAACTATTGCTTCCTAATGGCAGTTTACAAGGTACATGCAGTAGAGTCTTACAAATACACAAAGATTCACAAAAATCCATTATTTAATCTTTGGCATTATAGTGAAGCCCATGGGCTGGAAAGAAAAGTTGCTATTTAACACCCAAGGGTGGAGAGTTTCACCAGGAATAGATACGATATTATGATGCTCTAAATTTTAGTGCAGCCGCTTTCATTTGCCTCCAGCACTGGCAATCTAGAATATCAAACACAGTTACTAAGTGTACATGAATGTTATTAGGAATATAAAAGTAAGCCATTTAAACAGTTAACTGATAAGCCTGGGACTTATGCTGCGGGTGCATGTAACCGCTAAAATTTTTCAGCGATTACACAGTTACCCAATTACCTGCTTTTTAACATCCCTAAAATTTATATCAGTGCTTAATGTCAGAGAATCTTCCTCACACCATGTAAATAACAGTTTATATATACAGTGTGAGGGTGTGTATATTATATAAAATATCTTTAGGCACATTAACACTTACATGCACAAGATGCAAATAAACATATAATTAACCTCCATGAAAAGCCAACCTACAAAGTCTAAAGCTTCTCAACTCCACCAAAAGCCTGCAGCAGAAGTGATATACAGCAAACCTAGCCTTTGGAACTAAGGCCTTGTCTACACTGGAGTATTGTGTAGGCAAAAACTGCCTTTCAGTGACAAAAATCTCATAACATCCATATTATATGGTGACAAATATCATGAAATGCTGTTCACCAGCTATTTGAATGTTCCTCCAACTTTTAAGAGCTGGACCTGGTGGAATACCATTCAAAACTTTAGGGTAAACTACAGAGGGCTGCAACAAAAGCCACTAGCATATTGTTTTTACTGGGGAGAAGGGGTTGGTTTGTTTTTAAAAGGTTAATTCTCCTAGCACTTCAAACATGTGCCCTACAAGTCTAAACAGAGCACACGGCTCCCTTTCACCCTAAAGAGAAAGTTTATCCCATGATGTTGGACATGCTCTTTGCAATGTACAACATTAGTCACTAATGAAAGAATCCATTTAAGAGATATTACAGCAGAAATACTATAGTTAAAAGTAAAATTACAGTTTAAATCTATTTTTAAAAGAAAATTTGACACCTAAAATTGCCAAGTTCCCAAGATGCGCAGAGTAGCCCCTGAACTTAAAATAAAATCCCATTAGGATTTCTGAGACACAGAATCTTTCACAGCAACTTGTAGGATACTTGAGAACAGAGAATGAAATCTTTGTTCCACTTTTCCAAGTAGTTATGATGCTACAGGGAAGCAAAGCAGGCATTTTCCAATCATTCAGAAGTTTAAGATGTACTCTGAACCATTCAAGGGCAACCAACTGTCATATGTGGGAAACAGGAGTCCACTACATATACACACTGTAACATCCTTCTTAGAGAAGAGACAGACCTGTGTTACCTTGATTGAATTCTTTGGGGGCAGATTCAATCTTTGTTTGTTTGTACTGCACTTGTACAACAGGGTCCTGGACCATGACTGGGATTCCAAGGTGGTAAATTAATTCAAAGTAACAATTTAGTTAACACAAAGGAAATTAATTCATTGGCATCTCCCATCTACCTAATAAACCACTAGCAACCAAAAAACAAAACTCTAAAAAGCCTAACTTTAAAAAAGGCCAGAAACCCCATGAATCCACAAGGTGGTCTAGAATAGATAGTATGGTAATGAGCAACAGTATAAAATGAAGATTAGACACAGGATGCACATCTATACAGCAGTGTTATTTTGAAATAACTGATATTTTCAAAATAACATAGTCCATGTCTAGACTACAAGCAGTTATTTCAATATAATGTCAAAATAATGTCGAGCTGAAGGATTTCTTACTCTGACTCCTGTAATCCTCATTTTATGAGGAGTAAGGGAAGTTGGAGGAAGAGTGCTCTCTTGGACTTCCTGCTGTTTAGATTGCCAAAATAAGCTATTTTGACTTAAGGTACGCAAATGACGTAACTCAAGTTGCATAGCTTATTTTGGCTTAAGCCCTGCTGTGTAGACATGCCCAGGCAGACCTGCAGTTCATTTCATGGTGGATACTCAGCAGTATATGAATAAGAAACTTTATAAATTGGACAGGGTTCAGAGAAGAATTCCTATTTTATACATGGGAATAGCTAGAGACAGAGATCAAGTCAATTGTCCACGGTCACACAGGACTAAGACATTGCCCATTTCATTGCTTTAGCATAAAAGAAACACCCAGTTACAGAAGACATGGTAATTTTTACACTGTAAAATAAGAGTCAATCTTGATATTGCTCCTTCCCCCCCCTCTCCATTTTCCCCCATCTTAAGCACAAAAGCAAACCTAGGAATAAGATAAGCATGGAATAAAAATTACACCTTTCTATATTACACGTTGTTTTGCCTAAACTAAAAGTTAATTATTGATCCTTTAAGCAAAGAGCCTTTACAAAATGTTAAAACCCCGGTACTTTAAATCCTGAAAAGTCTGCTCTTCATCTACTACTGTGCAAGCTGTTGAGGCTAAACCTTACTGTGCAGCCAGCCTTAGTAACTGGAGATTATGTAGTGTTAGCACAAAGAAGTCACCTTGCTTGAAAATTTACAACTCTTTCTAGAAAAGTGATTTCAAACACTTTATGAATCTGTCTTCCCTAATCTTTTCCTTCCTCCTCCTGTAGTTAAATCACCTTGGAGATTTAAAGCCACCTTTTTACATCTGCGCTTGAAAGGGAATCCTCTGAACTGTCATTCATGTTAAAATTCGACACTCTCCGAGAAGGAATGAACAAACACTCAAACTATCTTACCCATTACCAAGATAGCTTCCCCAATTATCACCTCTAATACCATTAGCTCACAAACATCCCACTCTCCCCACCTCTAATATCATCAATTCACAGACACTTACCTTCCTTCCTCCCCTCCCCCCCGCATCCCCCTCCTGTTCTGAAATGTGATTTGTCCTTTTCATATGTGTTCATTTTTTTTAATTGTATCCTTTGGTATATATGGTTGTGACTATTTTCTTCCACTATTTGATCTGAGGAAGTGGGTCTGGCCCACGAAAGCTCATCATCTAATAAACCATCTTGTTAGTCTTTAAAGTGCTACATTGTCCTGCATTTTGCTTCAGCTACCCCAGACTAACACGGCTACATTTCTATCACTATTGATGTGCAAATAGCTCAACATA